TCCATGGATTGATTTTTCAAATATGTATATTTAACAATGAAAAAAATGTTATTTGTATAGTCATTGTTTTGAAAAACTCTAACATAACTTGGGCAAAAAATGAACTAGGATTGCTTTATATAGTTATAAGTTACCATATGACAATAAAAGGTTGGTATTGCTCGTTTTGCCATAATAAATGTATTTGAATCTATTTGATAGCTGGAGATGAAATTAATGTTTCATTGTTTCCAGGTTATGTTGTAGCATGCTTGATTTGGGATGACACCATTTCGGGAGTGTGAGGCACAAGCTCACTGCATTATTGAGCATCATCAACGGTATCTTACTATTTCATTAATTTTGGAAGCTGGTAAATACTTTCATTCAACTTCATAATTACTAATTAATTTTCTTTTGATTCAACTATTTTATGCAAGACACATGCTAGAATCACAGAAGTTCACTTCTTTGTTGACCTATGGTTGATTTCTAGTTTTGATTATAACAAACAAATTATTCTTATATCTAACTTTTATATTCGAGTGTTCATTGTTACATGTTACGAACCTAATGGAAATCAAGTATTCACAAATCGAACATAGAAATCGAGCACTCGTGTCAAGACAATCAGAGACAAATCAAGCACTCGCACCAAATCAATCGAAAATATTAGACTTAGATGATTCGAATCCATATGTAAAGGTAAAATACTTTAATTCTTAACAATGAATCACTTCAAACTCATAAATTAAATTTTTATGCACGAGATAAACTTTTCACAAAAACGCTCGCATAAAAAAATATTTTCGATATAACAAAAACCCGCACTTGATTTTAAAATTCTTTATCAATGATATTTATTTTGATAAGGTAAGTGAATATATCCCTAAACTATTTACACCTGTTTAAATAATCAAGAAAAGAGAAAACCAGAAATTTCTGGCTTGGAGGACGTCTGGTGGCTTCAATGGTCAAATTTTTTACTGTTCTGATTTCTAACATATAATGGCTATTTTTAGTCATCCGGTCTGTAACGGACGTCCAGTAGGGGTAGTCCGTTTGGGCAGAGCGCTTTGACGTTTTGACTGCTATAAATATCACAACACTTTAAATCATCCCACACATTCAAGAGGATTTAAGTGAGATTCTTTTGAGCAAAAATTGCATTGATTTCTCATATCATTTATTAACGAATCATTTTAGTCTTGAAAAACTTTTGATCAAAATAACTTTTGAAAATCATTCTACACATCAAAATTTTTCATACCAAACACTTAGACTTNTGACTGATATAAATACCACTTGACTTTACATTCAAAACTACTTTCTAAGAGCATTCAAGTTAGATTCTTTTGAGCAAGATTGCATTGATTTCTCATATCATTTATTATCAAATCATTTTAGTTTTGAAATTTTTTTGATCAAATTAACTTTTGAAAATCATTTTACACATCAAAAATTTTCATACCTAACACTTGAGCTTCATTTATTACTATTTATTAAAGTGTCAACCTATTTCTCTCTTGGTACTAAATTGTGATCATATCATTTAGTAAGAGAGAATTTTCAATTTGTATAATCTATTTTCCTTGAACTTGTGGGTCGTGTTGAGGTCCCGTAAAGTTCAACATTGTAAAATGATCGGTGCTCCTTGAATATAAGTCACCATAAGCTTTGTAAAAGGTTGGATTGCACTACAAGTCAATCAGCATAGTGAAATTAGCCTTGCTTGTGCTGGAGAGCTTGGTTAAGGAGGATGTAGATCATTGAGTTGGATCGAACCTCCATAATTATATCGTTTTCATCCTATATCCATCTCTACTTATTGATTTTATATTCGTGCTTATTATTTGAATTACTCTATCTAGTTATTATGTGTTTGATTTTAGATTAATTTTT